GGCTTTACAGCGCTGTAACTTGCAAGTGTAGCCAAGGCCTGAGATGATAGGCAGGGAGAGGACAGGCTGTGAAGGACCTTGACGGGGAAGATAAGCAGCTTACCTTTGCTACAATAGAGAAGGGGGAGACAGTGCTGGTACTCCAAGAGAGAAGGGTGACGTTGTCAAAGTGATGGGCTAGGAAAGTGATCTTTGCAGTAATCGGCTGAAGGGATATGAGCAAGGCAAGCTTCTCAAGGCCAAAGGAAGGCTGATGTGGTAATCGATGCGTAAAATGAGGAGAGTTTTAGCTGTGTGGATGGACAGGAAAGGCCTGTCTTAGAGATGTTATGCAGAAAGAGTAGGCAAGATTTAGACATAGCCTGGATGTGAGTAATTCCATTAAAAGGAAATAACTGAAAGGAAATAAGCTATGCCAGTATAAGACACCTTTCGATCTGTGTAACCAAACATAAGAATGGTCAGACTGGGTCAGACAAATGGTCCATCTAGCCCAGTATCCTGTCTTCTGACAGTGGCTGATAGCAGATGCTTCAGCGGGAATGACTAGAACAGGCAATTGTTGAGTGATCCATCCGCTGTCATCCACTCCCAGCTTCTGGTGAACAGAGGCTAGGACACGCAGAGCATGGGGTTGCATCCCTGACCATCCTGGATTGGTCTGTATTGGTTAAGCAGGTGGTAAAGCTTTACCAACATTACTGGTTTGAGCAGCATTGTAGCCACTAACCTGGAAGTGCTGGGCCCATATCCTAGCTCCAGAACCCTGGGGCAGGCAATCCCCCAGGAATGGAAGTTATTTAAATAATTTTTTCCCACTATTCAGTGGCGAAGTTCAACAGAGGGAGATTGGTATCAAAAATATGAGCCTGCCCCACATGCTTTGCCTTTGTGCCCTGGGGAGATGTGGTTTTAAAAGGGAGTGGATACAGACTAAAATGGCTACCACTCTGATATCTTGTGTCAAGTCACTTAAGGGACACTGATTAGGTTTAAAATTTTAATGCATATTCTTTGTAACTAACTCTGGAATACAACAATTGAAACAATTGTAGAAAAATCTAGATGACTTTCTATCCCTTTTTTGCAGTTCATTAAGCTTGGAATAGATCCTTTAACTTTGGAAACATCCTACTAGGGCAAGGCCCCAGGAGTTTATACTGCACCTGCCTGAGGCTCTAGAGGTGTTACCTCACTACAAATAATAGACTAGAAACTAACCTTAAACAGGAGTGAAACTGACACTTTCAAGTCACTTTCACAGTATGGCCAATCCCATATGTTCACCAAAAATCATGAGATTGGCTTTAAATTCGTGAGATCATGTGAAAATAATAGATTTGGTGTTCTTTTTATTTGCCTTCTGCTTTTTGAGCCTTTAGGGTGCACTGGGGTCACATTTTGAAGCTTTCTCCACAGCCAGGAGGGCTAGAAACTTCATTTTTCTTTAAGAATGAAGGCTGAAATCATCACCTATCCACATGACTCCAGGAGCTGGAGCTTTAAGGAAAACAATTATCCCGAGACTCATGACAAAATCATGAGAATTGGCAACACTGCTTTTACTTCTGTTTAAAGTTACTTTCCAGAAGGCTCTTAAACACAACACTACAGTGACTGAGTTGCAGTTCTCACAGGAGAACATTTAAAACCAAACACCAAGAAAAGTCTTTATTTTAAAGTTAAGAAAAAAACTGAGACTTCCGAGGTGTATCGGAGCCACTGCAGGCAGGAAAGGAAAATAAACAGGCACAGGAGCTCTGGGCAGCAATTCCTCTAGAAAGAAAGTTGGAGAGTCAAATCTTCTAGTTCTTAATCCAGTAAAACTTCTATTGTCATCAGTGCCTCCACTCACGGATATTAACATTTGCTTAATAACTATACACTTCTGTAACCATGCCTTAGTGGGTCACAACTGAGGATGCCAAATTCAGGACAAACTGCTGAGCAATAGGGCAAACACACCTCAAAACTGGTGGTTATTCTTTTATAAAATATACCAAGCCAAAGTAAACTCCTGTCTCACCACACTGGCTAACAAGAAAACATAAAGGCAGTTTCCTCAGGCATTCCAGTTCTTATATCACCACCAAAAACACTGGATTCAGAGATGAGTGGTTCTTTACAACCAGTCTCATCAAATGAAAGGTTCTTCTGATCCCAAAGGACCAGCCACACACCCAGGTCAATATATAACTTAGATCTTACCCAAAAATCACACTGATGCCAATCCTTTAGTATCTAAAATCTAAAGGTTTATTTATAAAAAGAAAGAAAGAAAGGTGAGAATTAAAATTGGTTAAAGGAATCAATTACATACAGTAATGGCAAAGTTCTTGGTTCAGGCTTGTAGCAGTGATGGAATAAACTGCTGGCTTAAGTCAAGTCTCAGGAGTACATCAACAGTTTGGATGGGTCATTCAGTCCATTGTTCAGAGCTTCAGCTTGTAGCAAAGTTCCTCTGGAGGTAAGAAGCAGGATTGAAGACAAAGTGGAGGTGTTTCCAGGGCCTTTTATAGCTTTTGCCATGTGAAGGGCATCCCATTGTTCTTACTGTGGAAAATTACAGCAACAAGATGGAGTTTGGAGTCATATGGGCAAGTCACATGTTCATGCCCAATTTCCCTCAGTCATTGCAGGAAGCCATTACCTACATTCCAGACCGCATGTTTACATGATAGTCCCCTCAGTGTAGACGGGCATCTCCCATGGTCCATTGTCAACCAAGTGTTTCTTGATGAACCACTTAATTTGAACAGTCCCTCCAAGATGTGCTGGGC